TATCTGTCTTCTCATTGGCTAAGAACCTACGGCTAATTTTGGAAATCAGCGCAACCTAAAGACTAGTTAGTTATCTGCTAGCAGATAACTGACTAATCTGTAGGTTGCGCGCGCAATGCATTATTTCCTATAACAATATCAATTCAGGTTCCTTGCGAGCAAGTGTTTCTCGCTATTTTCTTCAGAACAATGTATGATAAAACAATTATTAGATTCGGTTTTAGTGATATCCTAAATAATCAAGGTCTCGGTAAGTGTTATCAGCCTCGGCCTTGGGCTCAGCTGATAACACTTACCTTGGTCTTGATTATTCCGGATATCATAAAAACCGAATCCAATAATTGTTTAATAGTTTACTGTCATTCAAGTATCGATATCTCGCACACAGTCTTCTATCGCTAATTTTGCCATGTTAGCAAAGGATGATTCAAAGGTGAAATACCGTAAATCCTCTATTTAGTCCCCCCGCCTCTAATAAGCCCCCCTCCCCCTTTTCAGGGGAAGAAAGTTAATAAGCCCCCCTCCCCTCCCCTATTTATTCTTCACTAATAAATGGTAGACTGTATTAATCAATCACGACTGTAAAACTTCGTGTAGACTGGTCCGAGGTTTATTTACCAACTGGAAGTTCGGATTTGATTCTGATCTTCGGCTGCATGACCTCCATCCCTCTTGTTCTTGAACTTCTCCACTTTCTGTTCTAGTTCTTTATGGAGAACTGATGCCATCGTCTTTTCTAAATTAAATAAGTCCCCCATCTCAAGTAAGTCCCCTGCCTCTATTAAGCCTCCCCCCCACAAATGGACTTGAAATAAATAAGCCCCCAGGGGCTTAATAGAGGATTTACGGTATGATTGCGTGTCATCGGCATACAAACGAAAGTCAACTTTATGGTGTCTCATAATATTTAGATTTAGCCAGGGCTAAATGCGAAGCTCTCGATAATATTTATAGATTGCTCAAACAAAATATATAGAATCGTGAAATGCTAAGCGGCAAAGGCAACGAGAACGTTGAATAACAACAATATGTCTAATTAGCAAAGAACAACTACTTTTCAGGTGCAGCACAATTTTTTGTACATTATTTTGCCGTTGTCTTGCACGACTACAATGAATGTCGTACGTGTTGTTGTTCACTTTTTTTCACTGCCGCTTATTTTCACCTTGGTGGCCGCCAGCATTTCTCATTTTCTCACCGGCACCACAAAATTTTCAGGTTGTTCTTCTAGCAAAAAATGTCTCCTTTGTTTTTTATCTCTCGCTCTAGTTCTCTGTCGCTCTTTTTCTCGTTGAGCTTCGCCGGTCTGTCGCCTACTTTCTCTTATTGTCTGTCTTTCTCTTTCTCTATATTCAAAATTTGTGGACATGACAGTTAATCTAAGCTTAATACTTGAGAAAACACGGATACAGAAAAATTTCCGCTTTCCGCTTTTGTCTTTATTGACTCTTAAGTTGTCTCTGCTTCACAAGACGTGGGTGGCAATACGATTTCCGGCCAAATAACCTCGAGTTGCATTTGGGTTGCCATACCTGTTGATTGAGTTATTTTACATTGGTATGCCTGCGGTGCGGACGGACGAGCGGTTGGTCGGTCGGACGGAGGTACGGTCACTTGATAACCAGAATTTCTCGTATGGGTAGATTACCACATTTTCTTAGGTATGGGGTTACGCTCGTGCAAGCGAACCGCGCGCTTGGAGGTTCGTTAATATCACCCGAGTGTGTGGTATAAAGTAAGAATATAATAGGTCCAAGGACACTACCCTGAGGAACACCATAGTGTAGCTCACGACTGGATGACATACCACCGGTTACTTTCACAGTCTGGTAACGATCAGACAAATAATATGATCGGAACCACTCTAGTATCCAAGTATTTTCTTAAAATGGGATATGGATGATTAAGTGTTTCAGATTTGTGGACGCTTTTGTTCTTGTCAACCAACATGGCCGGCGTAACGTCAACTGTAAACCAGCAGTAGGGAACTTAAGGTACGGTAAAACAATTTGGCAAAATTGCTGCAAAATGAGTTGCATGGCGCTGTTGCTCGTTAGTATCACCCCCACTCAAACCCGTCTTGCCACAAATCAGGCTGTTGCTGGTTGTCAAACGTTTGTGCAGAAACTAGAGAATAGTTCTACTTTTTGTAACAAATCTGTACATGTTGCGCGTTTTACCGGCCCAAGGCAGACCTGTCTTGCAGCAAGTGATGTAAATCCAGTACATGGCTCACGCGTAATTTTATCCAATCAGACGTCAGTATTTAAGCAACTTGCTGCAACCTTTATTTGTTGCAATACAGGTTTGAACGTGGGTGGTAAAACGCGCATCATCGCTGTCAATACGTTCTGCGGCAATGTTACAAAACAAGTTGCACGATTTTGTTGCCGTTTTACCGTAGCTTCAAGCAAAGACGTTTTTGAGCGACACATCGACCGGAAGTGCATGAGTTTGTGTTTATTTTAATATTCCTTGACGCTACCTCATTTGAATTACTAAGTACATTTACTCTGATGAAGACGATTTGCTAAAAAATGTGGGCTAAACCACTGGGCAAAAAGTCCACTTGAGGTTGACATGTGTTGCTAGGAAACGTCTTTGTTTAAGCTCCCTTATACTACTTCATGAAAAATTTCTGCAATTTGATTGGCTTAGAGCAGTGGTATTTCAGCTTAATTTGAAATACATGTGAAAATTACAAACCTTTTGTGGGCAGTAGTATAAACAAATAATAGCATGATTTGTACGTGATATTTGGCATAAATACCACTTGTGATATTTCAAAATTGTCTCAAATTTCACTCGCCTAACGACTCGTGAAATTTTGTATAACAATTTTGAAATATCACTCGTGGTATTTATGCCAAATATCACTACAAATCATGCTATTACCTATACTAATACCAATCCGATATAATGGGTGTAATAAACACTTAATGAGTGGTCCCTCGGTAAACAGTTAGTCTTGTTTCCCTAGGGACATTGAGATTCCAGGGAAAAAAAATAACTGTTTCCTGAGGGACCAGTCTTTAAGTGATCTGTTATATAACCCACGAAGAAAAACGTTTTTGTGTACAAATTTATGAAAATAAATCTTGCGAGCGCTCAACATTCGCGGGTAACAGTGCACTGTTACCCTCTGACCTCATAGACTTTGCATTGTTGCCCGCTCAGAGATTTTGGCGGGAAACAGTTTCGTTGTTAGATGTCATGTGACCTTGAAGTAACCAATGAGAGCACGCGCTGCTGGGAAAAGGTTCCAGCTGTTTAACAACGCAACTTGCTTATCCAGGAAACAAATGGTGATTTTTTTTATTCTTACAAGGTAACTTTTAAACCTGTCAGTTACGTAATTTTATTTACATATGTACAAATTTTTTACACCTTTCAGCTGCCAGAGCTTTTTCGGATCAAGTTTGGTTTCTAGGAGACTGCCTACCTAAACTTCCCCTAAGCCATTGTTTTTGCCTTAAGTGAAAGGTAAGTGTTCATGTTAGCTTAAGGGAAGGGGTAGATGAGCAGTTTCTCGGAAACCTTAATTGATTCCGCTTTCAATAATATTTTTTACCCTACCGGGGGTAACTACTCAAGATACCACTGGTTGGTCATTCCTAATCTAGTATCCAGTCTTCGCTCGTGCACTCATTATTAAGAAATCAAGAATAATCAAATACGGTACTTTCATCAGTAGAAATCCGACTTTACCTCCTTATTTTAGTCCTGCACCGTAAAACCAACATATCTTATTTTATATTATGTAGATGACGTTTAAATTTTATTTCATTTTGGCAATTTTGATTTAAAAAGCTAGCAAATTGCTCTTGCCATTAGATTAGCTTAATTGATGAAATGGAAAACTTAAATTACTTTTTCATATTAGTGATTATTTTATAATATTTAAAAGAAAAAATTCAAATATTTTTATATCCTTTTTCTGGAAAACCATGCAAAAAGTTTATAAAAAGGCAAATAAAAAGACTAGAATTAAAAGAGAATAATAAAAAAGAAAAAATGGAGTTTTGGAGGTCTTCAACCATCGTAGCATCAGCAACTATCTTGAGAAAGGACAGGGAACTTGCCCAATCAAAAAGGATAGGAAATTAAGTTTAAAATAACCACGAACTTCTCGCTTTTATGGTTGATACACATTTGAAAAGATTTTCAAACAACTGAGGAAAACTCATTATACTGTTTTCAGTAAAACGAACGATTTGAATTCGTTTACTAATCCATTTGTACTTAGAGGGTCTCAATGGGGTTAACCTTCAGCCGTGAAAAAAACGGCCTGAAATTTAACCGTCAGCCGTCGAAAAAGGTGATATTTTGTTACGGTGAACTGTCGAAAATGCATATGAAAATTAACCGTCAAAAAGTTTCGAGGTAATTAAAATCTCACTATTTGAGCTGATCTTAACGGACTTCTGGCTCCTAAAGAATCTCTCAAACTGGAAAACCAGTTCCCCATTTTGTTCTTCACCGTCTCAGGCATGACTTGTCTTCAGACAAGACCTTACAACTTGCTTAAATCTGAAAATATTTCGAAATTGTGAGTGAAAGGCCTGATAACCTCCAAAACGCAACAGTTAATATTAATTTGTATAAAATTTAATTTTAATCAAACCCTAGGACTAAATTTCCTCTTTTAATTTTAACCATCAACCGTCAAAATTGAAAAGAATCAACCGTCAACCGTCGCATCAAAAATAACCTCATTGAGACCGTCCACTAACATCGGCTTTTAGATGGAAGTATATTGTCGTTAATTGAATTTTAAAATTTATGACAATCATGAACGTTCAGAATTAAAGCTTATGGCCTGCAACAAAGAAGCACTCGTCATACGTATCAACGTTTGTTTCTCAAAAACCTGCTCTTTTTTTTTGTACTATGGGAAATGTTGAGGCCACTTTGTGTTCTTCTGATGAGGACGTCAGACTGTAGTGGATCTAAGCTGTCTGCCCGTAACTTTTCCCGCCTTTTTTTATAAAGGTATCAAATTAAGCAGACTTAAACATATCAGACAGAAGTCTTTCCATTGGAATATTGTCGAGTGTACCGCGGAAAAATATCTGTTCTATGCACTTTGCAGACAGCTCTCGCAAGGAAGGCAGCATCAGAAGCAATCTTCCGAAACGTACTTGTTGACTCGGATAGGTCTGATTATCGTATTCTCCCAGCATGCTTTGTGCTTGGTCTTGAAGCTGTTCCACATGGTTTGGTGCTCGTAGCCCTCTTGTATCTGAAATGGCAATTATCAATACAAACAGCATGAGTATTTCTACCTTGCCGCCGAAATAGAAAATAGCAGTGTCATAAAAGTGTTGAGTGTGTATTTATCCACTTTGAAAAAGGGTCATTCTGCAGTTGTAAGCTCCAGTGTTTAAGGTTATATTCACACTATAGGAGATAGCTTTTTGTACCGGCACGAAAAGCCATCCCGTAAATTATGAACACCTATCCGATACATATATGCCTCTCCACAAATCGCCGTTCTTACTGTGTGAACAAAAGCACCGTCCGGTATGGTTTGCGTGCCGGCACAAAAGCTACCCGTGAACATAGCCTAGAATAGATTGTAAATTGTAAATATCTTATCATCCACTCCCCTCAGGGTTTTTCAGGAATAATTTACAACACTGGTTGGGGTACTTTGCCAGAGTACTTAGGTGCAGTTTACAAATAATGAAGGAATGAGTAATGATGCCCCCATACATGAGTGTGAAAGTGAGATAGACTACTACGCCGGGCACTACGTGCCCTACTCTTTACGAAGAGTGTGTGGGTTCTTTAACGTCCCACAGGTTTATTTTATTTGCAAGGGCTTGCGAGAGGGAACCTACGGTTTATCGTCCTTATCCGAGAAGACTAGAAATTCAAACCGTTTGCAGAAGTTATTACAAAGGCAGCACTTTAAAGACCGTTATTTAAAGACTCTGAGTATTGGTCCGGCCTGGGTTTGAACCCGCGACCTCCCACTCAGCAGACCGGCGCTTATCGCACTAAGCTAACCGGGCGGCGGTTAGACTCTTCCTGGCTGGAGTTTTCGGATTGATAGTGAAATTCTCTTTACGACTTTCAAGACGGCTAATGGTAAGCACCCCTATTAACTATACCCAATACTACTGCTTTGTTGGTATCTAAAAACAAAATCACCAACCTGGCTTAAAGAGAACAATAGCTTTCAGGCATGCGTACTCTGTCTGGTCAATATTGGCAGCTCGAAACCTCTCAACAATGTTTTTCAACGCCTTGATGTCTCCCATTCCACACATCATCTTGTCTGTCCCGTCCCGCTCCGGGTTCAATCCCGCAGCGGCGAGTAAAGTGTTCATCTCAACTGGAAGATTCCACTGGGCAACACTGAGGATGAAGAGCTCGCTCCAGCCCTCCTCGAGAAGAATCGCCTGATCTCGGAAAGGCAGATCAAAGAACGTCGGGATGTTACGAACCCATTTGACTGTCATAAACAAGATACGAACAGCGGACTCATGCAACATTTCCGGCGAGCCGAGATACAGAAGTGGGTAAGGTACTTGCTGTCCATGCTGTGGGGTATGGGGTGGGGTCATGGTCGCTGCCATGGAAACGGCTACTGAAACATCCTTCGGGCTCTCCGGATTAACATACCCAATAAGAAACCTTGGAGGGCTGTTTCTATAGCAACCAGGCTCTGGTGTCACCGGCGCGTCGAACACCTTTTCTTTCTTCGGGGTTATGTGTATCTGGGTGGGTGGGGTGGGGGGCATGTCAAAGTGTTCTTGCTCATAATTGTTTAGTTTCCTTTTCAAAGTCTTGCATCGGATCTCTTCGTTTTCTACCTTCTTGATTTGATTTGCTCGCGGGGCTCGCTCGTGTTGAACGGCTGAAAAAGTTAAAAATAGATCACAGTGAGGTTAAGAAAATTTTTGCGTTCGCTTTGTCATCACTGAAATGCTCCCCCAATACGTTACAACTTTCTCTTCCTGAACTCGTCTGTTAAGTAGTACGGAAAAGATGGCAACTCAAGAACTGGGCCAAACTATTCAAGTTCAACTCTTCTGCAAGTTGACCAGTATTTACCAAAAACTGATCACGTTTGGTTTTGTCTTCGACTAAATTGTTTGATATCTTTCTTTCTTTCAATTACGAATGGTACTTGAATAGTTTTCATCACATATAGACCATTTATTGGTAATTTCACAGGCGCTGAGATCCTATTATCAGAAGATAACATTAATTTTGCCCTCAGTCGACTCAGTCGTGTGAGGGAGGGTAGGTTACAGACAACTTACTCTCATCTAGCTAAAGTATTCAGATTTCATCCAAAATGCTGAACCGTAAAATTGCACTACTTTCTTCCGACAAACTTCGTTTTTCTTCTTTAAAAGTTATGTTATTCATATCATCATGGTTATGTTATTCACATCATCATCATCATCATCAAAATTATGTAAACAAGCTGCTTCTAAGATTTCAAAGGAACCTTTCTTCAGACAAACTTTGTTTTTCTACTTTAAAAGTTATGTAATTCATATCATCATCATCATCATCGTTACTGTTATTATTTCGGTCATCACATTTTAACAGATAGCACCGTATTTGGCGAATTCGTTGCAGGCCACAACTTCAAGTTCCTAGTGATTTGTGCGTAAAGTCCTTTTGAGTACTTTTTTAAATAAATAAAGTTTGTATAAAGAAATTTAATGCATTAGTTATACTACGAAAAACATGTTCTATGGTAAATATATCATCAGTATTGTTATTATTACTATTATGTATTATGCGCTATTATTATTATTATTATTATTATTATTATTATTATTATTATTATTATTATTATTATTATTATTATTAGCGTTATTATGAGCAGTATTATTATTATCCTATATCAACTTCAAGTTGGTAACTACTGCCTAAGTAGCCGACAGGAAGTTGTTAATTGGTTTGATTATTATCTTTGGCATTCCTTTTTGTATCGTGACATGTTAAAAAAAACAAGACTGAAAAAGAATCTTCCCTGATAAAAAATAGTTTGACTGACATTGCGTAATAAAGCAACTTTTAATTGGTTATCACTCTTACCCGAACAACTGTGACGTAACAAAAGAAAACCTTTAAATTCCTTGGGGTCCCTCAGGACATTGATAATTGCGGGTAATAAATGATAATAGGTTTATAACAGTCTCAGCTGTCCTTCCTAGAGATTATGTTTTGCCTTGCTATGATTGGCTAACTGGTCCTTAGATTGATATCAAGTCCCGAAGACTGCATATGTATTGAAATGCTTTTGTTCGCTACACAAATAAGTTTTCTAAATTCCACAAGACGACTTTGGTCGAGCTGAGTAACAAATTAATCAAAACACGAATTGAAAAATCGTTGCTAAACTCATTTATTGGTAAACAATCGCACACCTGCTCTCATTAATTTTACCGTCATTAGCTTTCAGAAATCACTTGTTCAATGATAAAAAAACAATGGCGCGTTGTCAACAAAAAGATGATTTTAACAAAATTAGTGTACTTAGGCCAAATATTTCCTTTTATTTTACACTAAGCCAAGAGAAGTGACTTTTAAAAACTATTACTTTATTGTCGACTGCATAAAAAGCAAAACCGATAACTTTTAACAAAATTTCTTTAAACAGATTAGAAATATTGTTGCGACGGTGGTCGAAATTATATATCACTCATAGTTTTTATGCCGTATTTGTTTTTGTATCCATATTTGCCTTTTTCATTCAGTATACCTTGCCGCCTATGACTTGTTATTTGCTTTTCTGCTTGAAGAAAGAAATGGAAACGCCACCTTTAAGAAAATATTTATTTTGCGATCGGGCTGAATTCCAAAGTGAATAAATCTGAGGCTTCATTGTACCAAACTTTAAGGGTAATTTTTTTTTGTACGCGATGTTTTGTCTTGATCTATAGACCAAATAAGTGGAAATTTCCTTTTCAAAAACTTTTTAAAGCAAAAATAATGACTGCAAAAGTGGATCTTAAGCATTTGTTTTTTGAATACATTATGTTGTTGACTTAAGGCAAGGATGAATAAATTTTTGCGGTAAAGTTAAATCACAGTTTACTCTCAAATGAGTCAAAAGACCGTGAAAAGAAACCGGAAAGAGAAAAGGTTCTAAAGAAATAACCAAACAAAAGCATGGCAAGGTTCTTTTTGAGACGGGTATAAAACAAAACACCTTTTTAAGTAACTTCTTCAAATTGTATACAGGGATTGTTTTGTGTTCGGTCTTTTAAACACAAGAATGAATAATTAAATCCCTGGTGTTCATTAAAACGCCCATTTTGCATAAGGCAGCCCGGATACTGCCCGGATACTGCCCGGATACTGCTTCGTCAGAGTTCTGGGCTATTACTTGTATAATCAACTAACCGTATCACTTTATTGTTTGATTTGAATTTCTGCTAAAATTGAGTCTTCATACTCACACAGGCTATGAGGCGCTGTTGCAACCGCCGTGTCGCTTCGGTTTGGTTTAGTGTACATGATAAATAATAAATTACTTTCAGTCGAGGGTAAAATCTCTTAACATTGCTCGCCAGTTGCGAACACTTAAACGTCGTAAATTGGGTAGAAATATGAAAGGAGGAGCTATGTGCAAAACTACATGTAAACAGCAATTAATAGAACCTTAGAAGTGTGAATGAACAACAATAGTTTGCGCGCGCGTGTTGTATATTTGGAACTGATTAGCTTTCGAATATGAGATCAGTCTGGTTATCAGGAAATTTGCACAATAAAAACAAGTTGCGTTTGATCAGTTTTGGAGAAGTGAGTTTTCTGTTGACGCTTTCTAGTCTTTCTTGCGATTATAACTTTTATGGCAAACACAAAACAAATCGCTACAATAAAGCACGTCCCGCTGATCAACAATAAATTAGAATAAATTAAAGTTATATTTGATCTAGTAAGATCTATTAGTTTTGAACTTATTGTGCATATATAGGAGCGATAAAAAGCGAACTTTAAGGAATTTTTTTTCAATTTCTGTCCATCTGCAAAGTGATGCAATGTACAAAGTGAGCTATTGAGTTTTGCGAAGACTGCGTATACGCTTTTTAAATTTTGGGTGAGTCCATGTTCGACAGGTGACCATTTATTCGGCAGGTTAGCCCGGCCTCGAAACCTTACACGACAGAAATAAACTGAATTGCAGCCCAAAAACTTCAGCTTAAAATTACTAAAAACGTTCCAGTTTTTTCATTAGCTCCCTGTCAGTGTGATTCATAAAGGAAAAAGAATTTTAATTTAAGTTTAATTATTTCAACTTTTGAATGGCCGCATTGCTATGCAATTGTAGGCTTCCAGTTAGATCCCGCGTCTTGTTATTTAATGCGAACCCTGGAGAGGAAAATTTGCCAGTCTTCATATTTTCACCTTTATATCGTAAGTACAACAGCAAACTACTCACCATCTCGGTTCATTCGAACTTCGAAGCATTTCCTTAACCGGCAGGCCTGGCATTGATTGCGCCTGGCGACGTCGATAGGGCAAGCGTTGCTCTCTTTGCAGTGATATGCAAGATCTCTTCGAATGCTGCGCTTGAAAAATCCTCGACATCCATCACAAGTTAGTACACCATAATGTTTCCCAGAAGCTCGGTCCCCACACACTTTGCAAAGAACAATTTGCTTGGCTTCTGTGGAGAAATTTAAAGAGAATCAACTTACTTTTCAAGCGAGCAAAATTACCACTTATGACTTTTCGACTTCACTGATTCGTTCGATTAGCTTTGTTTCAGCCACGCGACTGCACGAGCGAGCTAAGAAGCACGCGCACTTTAAGATCGCTGGTTAAACGTTCCTTTTAAAAATCCAGAGAAACCTCCTTTTTAGCTCTGCTCAACATCGGAACAATGGGAAATTGCAGGTAATATCTGCTTTAGAGCTCATTTATGGATAAACACTTAAAAATTTCATTCATATACTCAAAAGTTAAAACCGCCTAGATTTAACTACAAATTTTTAGTTGATCGCAAAACTCTAGCACTTTCATAACCTATACTTTGCCTTTTTACGACAGACGAGGTAGTTAATTTAGCAGGTTTTCTTGTGTAAACATATTACTTTGTTGTAATTCGTTTGATAAGGCGTAGTCTCAAATACACCTGGCGTAAAAATTACTAGATATCATTTAATTTAGCAAATCATAAAATTGTTATTTTAGGTTGATTTATTCAGTTGCCGTTTAACAAAAATGCCTGCTAATTCAATATTGGCTAGGCTTGTTTAACTTTTCAATGCTATACTTAAGCTTCAAAATCTGTGCTTCTACAACCATGTCCCTCGGACCAAACCGTTAGCAATAGAATCCTATACTATGCGATCACTTCCCAGTATTTTAAACTAAGATACCTCCTCTTCCACGCCTTGCAGCAAGAACTTCTGTATCTGCCATTAGATTCTGCAGGTCTTATGGCTGTCTAAAGGACCAGCTTGGAATAGACGGAATGCAGACCTGGTTTTTAGCACAGCGTCAAAAGGTTGTGCTCAGGAAGTTGTGAGCTGACAAAATCTTGTACGGTAAGTTGATTCCCGAAATTTGTACTTGCTGGTATTGAACAGGTGCAGAAATTTAACGCCCTCTGATTGGTTAGCGGTCAGAGCGCTGAAAACTCATTGGCTCAGAACCGATCTTCTATTCGCATGGCTAAGCACCTAATTAAATTAGATTATTTTAAATGGATTGGCCCAATCTTCCACGCTCTGGCGAGTTTTCCCCAGCAACAGAATTTTAAACGACGAAGCAAGCGTGAGCTATACCAGCCATGTGTGTATTTATACGGTGTTTAAACAAGAACAATGGGATCCACATTGCTTCACAATCCAAAGGAATTAGCCCTCTCGAAGAACCAACATACCGTGGCATTGAATGAGAAGGAATCTAATTTAGGACCGGTTGCTATAGCAGTTCCCGTGCAATCGCCAAAAATGACTTACACTGCAACTGCTAAAAGGTCAACAAAGGCACGAGCCTTGCTCAAATTCCCTTTAATTTTCGTAGTTTACAAAGACAGTTATCACTCAAATGAACTTCCTTCTCTAGCGAGTGACAAGTTTTCATTATCTAAGCACCTGTTTAAATGATGGATTTTTAAATCTAAAGCACGCGTTGGTTGATATTAAAACTGTCTCTCGCTTCTTTACTTTCTTGTATTGAACTTTATTTCCAATTCAATACAGATCGCTTATTAAGAAAGATTTGCAGCGAGCTTAGATTGCTTTCCAAGCATTTTCGCAAATAATTCCTAACTATCAAGGTAGATTGTTCTTTTTATCCGTATCACAACTACAGAAAAATTCCAAAGCTTCCTTGATCGGTGTGCAATCCCTTGTAAAAGGCAACTATTAAAGACGAGTCATTGTTATGGAAATCTTCAGAGGTCAATCAGGTGAAACCACAAGTAGGGTGACCATTAGCAGTTTTCAATACATATAACTAAAGATTATAGTGATCACATTTTTTTAAGACAAGACTGATTCCGCTTTAAGTTAAGTTTTGCCTCACTGACGGCTCCGAGATTCCATGGATTTGAAGACGATTCAGTATAGCTAGTACACTAATGCCTACGGAATACTTCAAGTTCGCATGTTTTTTTTTTCTAAATGGACGGCTGCAAGAATACGAACAAATGCGTACACTGGGTAACTAGGATTTAAAAAGCGAAAAATAAACTGGTGGAGTGATTTAGCACAAGTCCGCCCACTGCGCCATATTAACCATGCAACCTCCGTCAAACAATAGAAAAAATTGTCATAACTTCTGTGATCGCAAAGACGTGTTGTCAGTGCCGTGAATTCTACAATCAAGAATGATAACTTTTCCTATAGTTACTTTCATATTTTGTTTTATAAGTTATGTCTTTTTTGTTAACCTTGTTTTTAGCATGCTTCTTTCATACATAGCACTAGACTGCGACCGTAATCAGTTCAAAGGTAATCTTACCACTTAAATGTTTGCTTAACAATTGTCTCTTAGCGTGAACGTGATGTATTGATGTGATGTTAATGACCGACTGATGCCGCTTATGGGATAATTATCACGACTGCCTTTTGCTGCCAAAAGAATACGAAAGTTATTTGCCAAATACCGCAGCACAAGCCTAACCATCGACAGGTGCTGCCTGGTAGCTTTTATTTGTACGATTACACAGCTATCACACATTGAGCTTTTTATCCATAGACGCAAAGCTGCGAACCCGAAAAAGGTGTCCCCTGGAAAGAACTGATGAGAAGGTTCGCTAGAAGGTTTCACGGCAAACTGAGTTCATCCAGGGTGGCGATCGTGATCAGGCGTTCTTTTTGAGCGCGCGGCTCTTTAGACGAGGGCGGAGCCACTCTCCCTGTAGCCTCTTCCACGCGTGCAGACAGTGAGAACGGCGGAAAGAAAAGTGAGCAGAAAAAAAACAGCGCCACTAGCTATTGTTCACCCCGTTTCCGTCGACTTTCGCCCATGTATTAACTAAAAGCGTGCGATCGCACCCTATCCAGCAGCAGGCCTGAAAAATTACCGTGTTCTTCATCGGCATATGAAGAGATAAAGCTGTTTTATGCCCTTTTAGACTAAGATCAACCAGCTGGAAATTTACTTTTAGACGTTTTTATTAGCTACCAATATTTGCCCCTTTTCAGCACGTGTATGTAATAACTCTAATAAGACATGTAATGCTTATATCGCGACGTTTTCTCGCCCACCAGTAAATATTATTGTCTCCGCGCGATTCTTCTATGTATTGATCGATTTAAGTTGGTTGGTGAGAAACTGAATGCTGATCTCTTACTTAAGGATTTCAAAACCAGACAAAATGCGGGAAAATCCTGCCCTGTAGTTAACGGCAAACTTGCTTTACTTTTTATCAAGTACAGTACCAAGTTTTTGAGGATTGCAGTTACGGGTTGCCTCCAATTCTAAGTTGCATGCGCTGTAGTTTACTTAAATCAGCAAATGCCATGAGGTGATGAGGCTGGCCAGTCTAAGTGTCAAAGGTTTGTTTGACAATTGTCTCTTAGAAAATTAGAAGCTTAGATCCATTCTTTATTAGCCTTTAATTCGAATTGTAGAAGAAGGCATTCCATATGGGACAACAGCTTTGAAGTTCGCCGCTTTCTGCATGGACCAAGGATCAAAAGTGGCAAGCGAGTAAATTCCTTAGATCAAAAAGAAACTACAAAACAATTATTCAAGTGTCGTTCTAGAACGCCTAGCAACTATTGTATAACAAATAGTGTAATCTGTTAGTATAATTAATTGATAAATAAGAAACTTTTTGATCTATTGAAAACAGGCCAGTGTTCTTTTGTGAAAGCGCTCATAAACGTAAGTCTTTTAATGTCCGATGTACAAAGGAACCACGAAACACATTAGCCTTACTAGACGCGGATTAAGCTGTTAGAGAAGTAAATAGAGAAAAGTAAATGACCAATATCTTTTTGATTCGGATATCAAGTTAATCTAGCCACAACAGGGCTTATAGTAATGCAGTGACCACATTGACAACACCGATTTAAAAATGTGTAATGTGTAATGTTGTTTTTTCCAGTTTTTTTCTCTTTTTTATGAACGCAAGGCAGCAAGGTGGCCTTCGTTGTTAGCTACTTGCTCAATACAAAAAGAGTCAAGAGTCTTTTTCTTTTTTTTTGAGGATATGTTTTTTGATATTTGTAAGTTATTGCTTTCGTAATGACCATGAGGTCTCTTCTTCTCCTGCAGGTTACGCAAGCCGGTACGGGTTACGGGTTCTGCTTTGTTGAATCAGTTTTACCCTTGCCGCGCATTCCGGGTAGTTTGTTGTGCCCTGTAGCTGCTTTGGTTAACCACCTTCGGATTAACCAGGTACCCCAGGACATGCCATTATTCTCGGTTAGGTCCGATAGTTCATTGAGTAATATTACCTATACGCATTTTAGTTCTTTTCTAGCCAGGGTTATCAAAGCTGTCGGTCTCGATTCAGCTACTCCCCTCATAGTTTTAGGCGCGGTGGCGCTACCTTTGCCTTTG